TACATAAAATGTTAGGGTTTAAGGAATAGAATAAATGCATCTTCATCCAGAAAGTAGAAGTTCATAAAGTTTAAGCCAAAGCACAACTTGCTAAAGAAGGAAATGAGAAGGGAACTGAATTCAAACAGCCAATGATTAAACATGTTAGTGGTCTGATTTCTAAGACGTAGCAGATGCTGAAGGTAATCACACTGGGTCACTGCTAACATGAAAAATAAGTGCGAAAATGCACTTATATTTGGTATAGAACACAAAGTATGGGAATGATCTAAATAGCAAAGGTACAAGAGCATGGGCAAACCACGGTGTAAGATGTCAATCACTTTGGATCCTTCAGTAAGAAAGCAGGGAAGGGATTGCATCCCTAAAATAAATTGACAAACTGTATTATTTAGGCTAATGCAGTTGCTGTGACAAGCAAATAGCAAAATGTCTGTCACTTAACACAATAAAAATTAATTTCTTGTTCACATAACATTCTAGCTTTAGTAATCCTGGTTAGTGGGTAGTTTTCATCCAAATGGAATCCAGGCTTTTTCTGTCTTGTGAAACATTCAAGTCTTCTACTTCTAGTCACTGGAACAGAAGAGAAGGTGGAAAAGCCACATCAGCTGCTTCAAAGCCATGACCTAGAAGTAACATGTATTACCCTTCACGTGCACTAATGTAATGCCCTTGGATCTGAAGGTTGGTTCGGATAATATAACTTTTGCCTAGCTAGCAAACTTTCCATGTCAACTTTACTCTAGACAGGAAATATGAATTATTTAGTAGACAAATGGCCATTTCTGCCCCATGCTGTGACTATTGCTCTGGTATTGAGAAATTCAATACTTTGTCATTGGTTATTTGTCCCTTTGGCCAAAGGTCATATTTTAATAATTTACCGCCTGCCAACCCCAACATTCTGCAAAATTGCGGTGTGCTGTTTTTGTTTCAGTGTTTCACTAGATCAATCGTTGATCTCTGTAGCAGAAGGAAACAAATGGCACTCAAGGGTAACCTAAGGGCAGTGATACAGACGCTGTTTATAAAGTTTTGGGGAAGATTAACAGAAGCAAAATGGAAGGTGATATACATTTTGGGATGCTGTTGTTACCCTTAGTCCTGAAGGGTTCGGGGAAGGGTGTTTAATGAAACTTTGTCACCTGACAGAGGCTGTGGTCCAAGATAGAAAACATCAGCCTCCGCCAAACCAAGACATGGTAGAAAGAGAGCCTGGGAACCAAGTCCCCTGACCACTCTTTCCCTTCACCCTCTGATCACTGGCAGCACCTCCCTGCAGCTAACTCAGCTGGCAGCCAGAGGCCAACTCCGCCCAAGTGAGGCTGATACAGGGTGCAGCCAAGGGGGGAGGTGCAAAAAAAGATTTGGAATGGTGTCCAGAACTCCACCTAAAGCGTATAGGAATATTGGAGAGACATATAAGATGTCTTTCCTCCTTCCCCCCACAGGTGTGAGTTGGGGGAAGGGACACATGGAGCAGGAACATGCAGGGCTGTTTTGTACAGCCACAGCCTTGCAGCTAATCCATGGCGTGGTCATTTAACATATCTGTAGCCTTCGGCGGGTCACTTGGATATGTTAAATGGCTGTGGCCAGGCTTGGAGGTAGGGGGCTGAAGTCATTTACCCCACAATTTGTAACTGGGGGCAGGTCCCCCAAGTTACAGCTCCTGCATGGGAGCTTGGAGAAGATCGGCTCCAGGACAGGGGGCAATACCTGCCCAGACTAACAATGGCAGCCCAGTAAACTTGTAATAATACAAAAGTACTGCAGGTATAACTGATCATGGGAGGAGTTGGAAATAGGGGTACAGAGGAAGATTGGCCTGAGGATTTAAAAAGCCAGACACAGCAGCCACTGAGGGGAGAGCCACGCGGTTTCAGCAAAGTAAGGGTCCCCTCTTGGTCAGGTGAGGGAGAGCCATGTGGTTTTGGCAGAGTGCAGACCCCCTCTTTCCCAGGTGAAAGGAAAAACCACACAGCTTTGCCAGAATGGAGATCCCGGCAGCCAGGTGAAGAAGAAAGACACATGCTTTTGGTGGAGTGCGGACCCCTGCAGTTTTGGTAGAAAAGGCTCATGCGGGTTTGGGGTGCCCCCTTTGGCAGCGTGGCCTGGGAAGCAGAAGAGACTTTGACTGGAACTTGGTACAAAGAACTCTTGCTAGTGGACCATGAGAGGGTACCACATGACTTTGGATTAACTAGAGATTCTGCAGGGCGACACAGCTGATGGTGCCAGCAGCCTGAAAAACAGACGTGTGCTCTTTTCCTGATTTATGGTACCCAGAGTTGGGACAGTGGGAGAATGGAGAGCTGTGTGTGTGTGTGTGTGTGTGTGTGTGTGTGTGTGTGTGTAGGTGTATACCCTAAATGACTTTGATATTTTATTGGAGGCATTAGGCCTGAATAGCATTAAATAAACATTTTTTTCCACAAATCTCTGGCATTGAGAGATGTCTTTCCAATTGGCGGCAGACAGAAGAGACCAGTAGATATTAGTATTCCGTCCTTGAGAGGGGCCCCTGTTGTTCTGTAGCAGTTTCTGGCGTCCCTGGGTGGGCCATATATTGCCCCCACCGGACCTGTTGTTCGGTAACAAGGCTGTTCATTTGTGTTCTGCCTCCCAAGGCACAGGGTGGGGATAACAAGGTCTCAAGAAGCAAATAAAGAATGTTCAGAAAATTCTCCAAGTATTTGACATGACTTTCATGTGACCTGAGATTCTGATCTGAAACCTAATTGTGACCTAATCAGGGAAATGATTTTTATCTTCAGGAGAAAAAATAAAGACACCAAAAGTATATCAAATGTACATTAAGACTAAACTCAGAAACATAGTTGAATGTGTTGTCAGTAATTTCCAGATTCTGTCGGATTTTATCAGCACTGACTATGATGCTGAGAAAGATGTAGTTTTTCCAAATATAGTGTATTCTCTATAAATTTCTTTGGGAACCACTGGGTCCTCCCAATAAAAGATTAATATGTTACTTGTGTCACATTTGATGGTTTTAATCAGACCATTTTTTATTTCTTATTCATTATAGTCCAAATACTGTTTCAAAGGACTTTGAAATGAATTATTCTGATTATCACACAACCTATAAAGTAGGTTCTACTATCAGTATATTGTATCTTCACTGTAAGCCAAGGCACAGAGAAGTCAAGTTATTTACTCAAGTCAAAGAGCTGGTATTTAAAACCAGGTGGTCTGGTCACAGTATCCATGTGATTCTGATTTCATGTACACAATACTTTTGATATGAGTATAAACAATAAAAATAAAAAACACTCCTGTTACATTTTTCAGATTGCATTTTTGCCATGTACTAAGATATTATTTGAAATTTTGCTGCGCCATGGTGATGTATAAATGTGTTTATTCAATTTAGTAGAGATAAGACATTAGAGTCCAGAGATATAACTGCTTTTTAGGTGGTTTTTAGAATTATTAGTTCCTATTTGGTTTCTCTAAATAAATAAGTAAAAATAGAAAAAGAATGATACTAACCTCCCAAAGCCAAGATCTCAAGACATTTAAAGTAGAAACAGAATCTGAGGTGTTTTTTTAAATGTCTTTAAATGTTAGTATACAAAGCTATAAAATTAGTACATATTTATTACGTTCATCACATGCTTGGTACTCTGCTTAATACTTTATATAATTACACTAATAATCCTCAGAATTACCTTATGAATAAGGTTGTAATATTAAACTCATTTTATAAATGAAGAAACTGAATTTGAAAGAGACTAAGTAACTTACCAAAAGCCACATAGGATTTCAGTTCTAATGTAATGTTTCTTGAAATATATCAGAGATGACTTATAGGAGAGTTTATTAAAAGATAGGGCTGTCTCCTCAGCCTTTCAACTGAGTACCGTAACTATTTGTGTTTGAATGTCTAATGTTTTAACAAACATCTCAGCTGAGATGTTCGAGAATCATGTTTATAAATTTTATCACCACTAATTTAAAAAGAAAGATTACATTCAGGGAAACTGTGGCAAGGAAATGCAATTTTTGCCTGTTATCCTAAAGGGTGCCTCTTCACATAGCTATAAATATTTCATGAGCTACTCAGCAAAAACCAAGTATAGAGCTCTCAGGAAAAGAACTAGATAAAGCATTTTGACTTGCTGTTCTGTCTCTTAGCCTACGGCCTCGTTAAGAACCATTTACTCATTTTAAAGCCCCATCAGGTTTCTTGCAAACTTTATTTTCTTTCTTTGAAGAAAAAAAATGACTGCTGTTGAGTCTTACAAGAGTTAAACTTGTAATAGATATTATATGTGTATAGTGTTTTACTGATTGTGGTGTTTTATAATGAATTATCTCACTCCATAAGAATAAAATATTTTTCTGTTCCTTGTGAGGCAGAAACTGTGCTTGGTGTTGGGCATAGGAGAGCGAATAGGAAAGTCACGGTGTCTGCCTTCAAGGAGTTTCTGATACAGTTAATGCTCTGAAGTTTTATGTTGTAGAACTGTGAGGTCTACCAGCCAGCTATTATCTTATTTTAAATATAGGAAAAAGGAAGTTAAAGAGATTACGTGACATGGTTGTGCTTTAAGTAAATGATCACACCATCTAAATTATTCTACAGATTCCGAGTTTCGTGTCCTTTCTACTACCTTATGCTGTCTTTCAAACTTAGATATTTTATATAGTTTTCAAACTTGAATCTTTTTTACAGCTTAAGTCAACTAAGCCCTAACTTTTCTTGTTCCAACTTAAAATGGATGTGTTTATGTCTGAAGATATAGTGAGTCATAAAATGTTGAGATAGTTAGAAATGGAAGGTGAGAAGAAAATTAATAAAAAGAGAGAGGAACTGGGAATCTTTCGGACATATAAAAAGGAGACTTAGTAATAAAGGGTTGCATAAAGAAAGGACTAAGAGGTATTGGTAAAAAAAAAAAAAAACCTAATGTAAAGATGACTCCAAGGGGAATAAAGGGGAAAATAAGCAATTTTATGGCTAGTGATGCTTTCATTCAGATCTTTTATTACACAATCAAACATTTGTCTGTGCCATCCTGCCCATCTTTTTGCATTAAAGTAGTTTGTCCCCCTTTGCCATGTCTGCCTTTCTCTCACACATTAAATAATGTTTGTTCTGGCAGAAGGTAGGGTGAATTTTCCCAATATGAAAATAAGCACAATTCATGTTTTCTCTTGCATTTTCAGAAAGTTCAGACCTGTGAATGAAAAAGGTAGAATGAGTCCTTTGGAAGCCAAACAATGAACAGTCAAACTGTGTGTGTAATTTTGTTACATAAAATGGAGACAAACTTATGGGAAAAATAAAGTTAGAAAGAACCTTCAGATGGCTGAGAGACTGCCAGTGTTCTTGGAAGTATAAACTACGTACATTTGAAATGCTCAGTGCTATGTACATTTAAATTACTAATTTAATGTGGAATAAGATTAAGCTGCAGGTGAACAGTAGTGCAAGTGAATAGTACGAGTAGTTGCAAGTGAATAGTAGCCTAGAGGAAGAGATGGATGGGGATCTGAAGAGACTGGAAAGACTTTATCATTTTATATTGTTATAGACGATTATCCTTGAGTTCTGTCTTGAAGGAAGGGTAGGATTTGGATGAGCAGGGAGGAGGCAGGAGAGCCTCGTAGGGCAAGTGGCTGTACAGGATGGAAATGAGTCCATGAAAAAATTAGTTGATTAAATATTTTTGAAATAAAAGTTTATGTTATAAGGTAGCAAATATAAGACTGCACACTATATTGTGGTTGTTTATTCTCTCTACTACATTGCTTATGATAAGAAAACAAAACATGTGCATTTATTAACTCATTTGTCAAGTATCTATGGGATACCTAGCATGTATCAAAGTTGTTTTCTATGGTGGTGATAAAGTGGCTAAGAAAGACAAGATCCTTTCTGTTGGGGAACTTACATATAGTCGGGGGATACTGATTTTGCTGAAGGAACAGAGGGAATACCAATCTGCTTGCAATATTGTGAATGAGGCAGCAAGTGATAAGAGATAAAGTCCAAGGTCTACGAAAAGGCTTGCTGTAGCTGCAGGACCTTCATCTCCTACTCATAGTAAGTACTTAATAAATATTTGTAAATAAATTAACTAAAGATCTCAGTAATAATCAGATTGTACAAATTTGGGTTAATCAGTTTAACTTTTAATGAGAGAGATACTGCAGTTATGATATGAACAAAAGGTATTGAGACTGAAGATTGAAAAGCCACATTAAATAACTCAACATAATTGGCTCCTTTGCCTGAATTATTTGTGGAAGGATGGAGCCTTCTGATGTGGACATTAGAACCACTTTGTGAATGATGATGTGCCTGATTCTTGGAGACCCCTAAGGTGGAAGATTAGGTCACTATTACTAAAAAGTCAAAAGAACCCACAAGTAACTTTCAACCATAAAATAGTAAGGGTAATTTTGTTCTAAAAATATGTGAAGAGAATTAGATTGAGTTAAAAATTATATTTCATAGTAAAAAGTAATGTGGTTAATAGAAACACATAAGAAAAAATACTGGGAATAGGAGTGTGTGTGATAAACAACAGAGGACTGGGAATTAGAATTGTCTTACTACCAGTGTGCCTTTGTTAGGATTAGGGTGTAAATTGTCCACCTTCTGCTTATGTAATACACAGTAGGGCATAGAGCTACCACCCAACTTTTAAGTAACTTGTACTCAAAAGGATAAAGTATCTCAGGAAAAAACATTGCTAGTTGTGGCTTGAATTCTGAGATTCCAATGGCTTACATATTTTTGGAGAAAACTGAGCCATCTTCCCACTTCCAGACTTTATCAGAGTTCTGGCGAGACAATCCAACCCAACGTATTAATGCAGTCCTGGATTTGATGTATTTCTGTTGCAGACACAGATAAATATAATGGTCAGAAGGCATATACAGTTCTTTGTCTTCATAAAGACAAAGCTTCTCATAATAAGACTCTGGGACAAAAAAAAGTTAGATTATATATCTATGTTAATTAATTTTATTTGATATTTAGAATTGTAGCAAGTTCACTTGTAGAATAAAAAGTACTCAGTAAAAAATGTAATTTTTACTGAGCTTGATAAGTTTCTCAGATCATCACAAACTGGAAAGCATGTTTCACTTCAGATTTTTTTCCTTATGATTTCAAAATATTTGCCGTGGGAATCTCCTTACCAGTATGTCCTGGTTGGCAATCGTCAACAGAGTGGCATTCCTATCGATACAGTACTGCTTACTCTCTTCCCAGGTTAAGTTGTGCCTGAAAAACCCATAGCACCTATCTTCATAAGGTCTCCAGTTTGGGGCACATGTGGTATTCTTATGCCCTTAAAGAGAAATCAAGCGTAGGAATCTTTTTATTCTAAATAGGGCTTACTTTTCCCCCAAATTCAATGTTTCCTGTCAATCTCAAGATTTCCCAGAGTTACCATCACAGAAGAACTTCAGGGGTAGGGAAGATAAAGAAGTTATGAAATCATACTTACTGAAATCATCCTTTTCTTTTGATTGATTTATTAAATCTTGGGAGGACTGGTTTGTTAAGTGTTGCAGAGTCCCTGGGAGACTTTTATTCTCAATTTGTAGGCAGTTTTGCTGTGTGACAACTAGATATAAAAATTAGTTAATAATTTGTAATAAAGGATAATAAGGGTAATGCAAAGAGCTTCCAATAAAGTAATTTCACTAGGATTATCAGTGCATGAAATGTTTGCAGATGCACATGAGTGAGTGAATTCTGCAAGGATGGTCAGGGGAAAGGGAGGCATAAAAAATGAGAGCTGAGAATAAGTGAGCTATTGGAAGGAGATAATCATACATAAGAAACTGTCTTGATCAAATCACGTGCCCATAGTGGCTGTTTTGAAAGTTTCCTTACGTACAGATTTCTAGGTGGATTTCACAAAGGTGAAGAAACTCTGTTATTTTGTTTTTCATGTAATGCCAAAACACTCATTTAATTTAAAAAAACATATTGAAAGTCATGGGAACAAGGAACCAACTGACAGGGACCAGAGGAGAGGGCAGAGGGGGACAAGGGAGGGAAGAAGGGAAAGGGTCTAGTTAAAGAACGAGGATAAACGGACTTGGACAACAGTGTGGGGGGCTGACTGTGGGGGGCTGGGCAGGGGAAAACAATGGGGGAGATTGGGACAACTGTGCTAGAACAACAATAAAAAAGAAATCTTGAGGTGATATGTTGTATATATGTATAAATGTATATGTTTGGAAACTAAGTATATTTGGGTACTAAAAAATATATATTAATTTTTAATGCAGAAAGTACTCAGGTGTTCAGATAAATAAAAATGGTGAATGTATAATTCTAAAATATAAAAATAAACAAGATCAGAAGCAACAACAGTATCGATGATAATATGACATTGGAAGGCTTTTGGATTTATAGGAAAATAAATTCCCTTTTAGGAAGAGGGAATGGAATGAGCCAAATCTCAGGCAGAGGGACAGAATTTATCTGTGAAACTGAGCTAACACCATGTTGGCTGGATCTTGAGATATACAGGATGAGAGGATGAAGTTTCAAATGATTAAGTGAGTCTGTGCTGAGGAGAACTCAAAGACTAGTTTAAATTTATTGAAAATCATGTTTAACTAATAAAAATGGAAAATACGATTTTACTCTATAGGAAGAAGTCAGAGTTCCCCTTTAGTGAGAGGATCTTGGCAGTTGTGTATAGGAAGATGGGAGTAGTGACAAATACATGAACAGTGACAATTTAGCTTAGTGGCATACACCAGGACCCTTGAAAGTTGCCTTTCTCAGATGTAATCATTGGCAATGAGTCAATACTTACACATAACCCCCAGAGCCACCAGCCCAATGACCAGCCCAGTGCACAAGAACAGCAGCACCAGAGCCATCACACGCCACCGTGATGAAGAAGCAGGGTCAGCTGTGGGCAAACAATAAAGAAGAAAGGGGGCAGGCAGTGTGGCGTACTTATGGGGCATGCTCCTGACCCGTCCTCTGGAGGTTCTTTGAGAGCTGTGAACATCACTGGCAGATCTTGCCAGTGTTCTTTCTCCTGGTGATCATTAACAGCAAGCACATTCCCTCTGGCATTAAACTCTATAGGCCTAAAGTAGTGTTCCCTGCTTGTATCTTTTCTTGTTTATAGTCTAAACAAGTCTATCTGATCCTATGTAGATACTATTCAAATGCAGTAGAAAAAGAAGGTTATTCAGGAAAATAAAACTCTATGTGCTATATTAGTAAAAAAAAAAAAAAAAAGGTGGGGGAAACTAGGGTTGGCCCTTTCAATAGTTAATTTTCAAATCATTGGCTCTGGGCATTCTTACCTGTGGGGAGAGCTGGTTTTCGAGTTTCGATATTTAAGGTCATGTATCCATCTTCATCCTGCATGGTGTTCTTTGCACTGCAAGTGAGCTCAGAGTCCAGTGACATGGCAAAATGTAGTGTCCACTTGTATGATTTCAATGTCTGTCAGTCTGTGGTCTTCTTCTCTCTCATGAGGTGGAGCCATGAGGTTTGTTTTTTTGTGTATTATTTTTCTTTGCAGGAAGCCCTTCCCTAGCTTCTTACAGATACATGAACCTTGAACATAAAAACACAAAAATAACAATAACTTGTGGAAAGGAATAGATAACAGCTTTTGTTTTCTGTTTCCTTCTCTTCAACTCCAAATGGGTATTCTTACAGAGGAAAAAAAGTTCATGTTTGGTCTTAACCCTAAGACAGTCTAAATCATTTGTTTAAATGAGCTAATATCTGATGATAATTCAGGGGTAAAACACCAACAAACATATAGTCTATGCCACTGTGAGGGAAAATCCAATATTATTTGCTCTAATATGGGCTAAATTAGATGTTAGAAGGGACCATTCCTAGTTATGATTTAAAACTCAAATGCTTTCATCTTTCTCAAATCAAATTCTTCAGAAATTCAAGGACTCCACATGAAGCAAACTTCATATCTTAGGTTTCAGTGTCAAAGGAAACAATCCAATAAAGTGAAATAGTGCAGACTTAGTATTGCTGTTCAGTAATTTTTGCACTTTTAATTGAATTTATAGGAATAGAAAAATTCCTAGTTTGATGAAAATCATATAATTTCAAGTATAGTGGTGCCATACTTGAAAAACTATTTTAGAATAAGGATGGTTTCCTAGTGCCCTTTACAACATAATACATTTATTCCACACATTTAACTTTATAAAATGAATTTTTAATTGTTACTTTAGCTTATATTGAAAGTGTTTATAAGAACAGCCATAGAAAGCTAGTTGATGTACTTACTATAGGAATACTGGTCAGGGTGTTACTATTTTGTCCTTAGTGTAGTTCTTACATTTCTTTTATTAAACCTTCATGGCCACAAAAGCTGCCCTTCTTCTGAAACTATTGGGAACTTTTATAAGTGATCTTATTTCTACTTCAGTTAGTAGAGTGTTAGGCTCCACTTTCAATGCAGTAATTATATAAGATCTCATGGCAGATATTTTGCTTACTTTCCATTAGCACATCTTGTACACATATTTTTCTTCCTGTTATCTCCTTTATTCTGAATTTTTGGTTGATTCATTTAAAATAATCTTTTACTTTAAAATTTCTTTCTATGTACACCTCAAATTATTTGCAGGATGGGGTAAAGAATAAACCGAATAAGCATGAAAGGTATTTTTGATTTCAAAAACCTAAACTTAGCATGATTTGGGTCTTTTCACCAAAAAAAAATCTTTAATTTAAAAATCCAAGATACTTTAAATAGAAGTTAAATTTGATAATGTCTAAAAATTAAGTAATCAACATTTTTAACTTCCTAAACCCAATTTTGTCACTGGGTTTCTTATCTCAGTTACAATACTCAATGATTCCCAATGATAAACACAGTAAATTTAGAGCATCCTGCCAGTATCTACCACTGCTTCTGTTCCAGTAACTTCTGTTTCAGCCAAAGTCGACTCTTTACTCTTTCTAACAGAGCTGATTACCCTCTCTTCCCTGGCCCACATCTACTCACAGACCAAGTCCTGAGCTTTTCCTCTCATCTAACTCCTCTTTTTTTGTTGTTGTTATTTTTTTCTGACACTGTCTTACTTTAGTGGGTTTTAGATACAGAAATGCCAAAAGACAATTGTGCCTAAGTGACAGAGAGAACAGTGTGGAGATTATGTTCAAGTGGCACCTTTTCAATGAAGCCTGACTCTGTTCTCTTAGTAACCAAGTAGGAACTTCTGATAATTTACAGTTAAATTAAATCAAATATGTGAACGAGAGATACACAAATATTTGGAAGCCCTTACATTTATTGTAAATATTTTCTTGCTCAATTAACAGAAAATTTAAGAAGACACTAAGTATAACAATTATCTTACTTTGTTGAAGTTTCTGTATTCTCTAGGTTTTGGGCAATTGGTTTAATTATAAAAATATTTCCTTTATGCCCTTGATAAACCATCAAGAATATTCTAGACTTGATTCTTGATCCACGAATGCTTAAAATTGTACCTGTAACACCACAAGTAGGTAAAACTGACATGGGTAACACTAAGTCTCAGATAATATTAATTTGCTACTCTCAGCTTCTAGACTATAATTTGTATTGATTTTGGGATTTTTGATCATTCTAGCCACAGAATGGTGGTCTTATGTCTAGGTCTATCTTTCATAAAAATAGATTTGCTTTTTTTGCATTTTCCAAGCATGGCTTTGTGGTGTTAAATGTATGCTAGTTGAGTACAGAGATCCTAAGGCTCAAAGGAGTTCCTGATAACATTTCATCTTAATTCTGCTTTCTTCCTCCACATATCCTATAAATACAAGCTGAGTTTCTCAGCAACAATTAATCAAAGAACTGCAGGAAAAACAGATAGCTATAACAAATTTTATTTTCCCTTTTACGAAATCCAGGGGCTTTCCTAGCTAACTCCTAATCACACTGCAGGGCATACTACTGACATATTTTATTGCTCCCACTTTTCCTAGTTCAGGAAACTGAAAAAAGTTCTTTTTTCCAAACAGCCTTAGAAGTTGGAATTTGAAATAAAAACCTTTATTTGTTTAATATTTTAGGGGTTAAGAGGCACTTTTACATAAGTTACTTCTTTTATCTAAAGCAAATAGTTAAGTAATATTGATTACATTTCAGACATTGAACTTAATGGTATTTGTAGAGAAAGTCATGGTACTAGTCCTATATAGCATAAAATCGTAGATTTTTTTCTATCTGACCTTTATTTTTCAGTATTCATTATTTTCCTCACCTCACCACACACAGGCCCACAATCTTGTCCCTCTTCCTTGTGTCACTCTTTTTTGTAGCCCATATAACTATCTGACACACATAAACTCTTCCTAGATACGTGAATTTTTGTCATTTGTCCCCTCAAGAGTGTATTTTGTAACTCTGAATTAGTTACTTGCATACAGTCATATCCAGTAGATATTGGTGAGTGAATACATACATACATGTATAATGACATATTCACTCTACATGTCAAAAGAGAAGTTGAAGGAACCTTGGAACTTTTCTATTATCACATATATAAAAAGCAGAACCATCTATTCCAAGTTCTTTCCACTACAGCATATGTATTTTAAACGTAGGCATTGTTCAGACTCCATATCTATGCTGATAGATGGAGAATGAGATAAAGACAGTGGGATCACGATGACAAGTTGTAGATGCAATAAGAAAGGGTATTAGTGGAGTGCATAAGATGGTGAATAAGACTAATCATATATACTGCATAGAATTCCATTGTGTAAATGTACCATAGTTTTCTGATACATTCATTTACAGATGAGTGTTCAGGTTACTTCCAACTCTTGGCTGTTGTAAATTATGCTCCTATGAACATTAGAATACAGAAGTTCTTTTGGATTGGTGTTTAAGGATTCTTAGTATGTAATCCCAGCAGTGGAATTGCCAGGTCAAAAGGCAGTTCCATTTTTAGTTTTCCGAGGAAATCCCATACTGTTTTCCACAGTGGCTGCACCACTCTGTCTTCCCACCAACAGTGTACTAGGGTTCCCTTTTCTCCACAACATCACCAGCACTTGTTTGTTGATTTGTTTATGATGGCCATTTTGACCAGTGTGAAGTGGTATTTCATTGTGGTTTTAATTTGTACCACTCTGATGCCTAGTGATGCTGAGCATCCTTTCATATGTCTCTGGGCCCTCTGTATGCCCTCTTTGGAGAAGGGTCTGTTCAGGTCCTTTGCCCACAGTGGAGTCATGTGAGTTCTTTATATATTTTGGAGATCAAACCCTTGTCTGAGGTATCATTTGCAAATTTATATTCCCATATGGTTCCCTTTTCATTTTGCTGATGTCTTCACAACAGCGTGGATGGATCTGGAGAGCATTATGCTAAGTGAAATAAGCCAGACAGTGAGAGACAAATACCATATGATCTCACCTATAAGCAGAACCTAATCAACAAAACAAACAAGTGAGCAAAATATAACCAGAAACATTGAAATAAAGAACAGACTGGTGGTAACAAGAGGGGAGGAGGGAGAGGGATAATGGGGGAAAATAGAGGAAGGGTTGTCAAGGAATATGTGTAAAGGACACATGGACAAAACCAAAGAGAGTAGGATCAAGGGTGGGAGGCAGTGATGGCTTCACTCCCTGCAGGGCAGGGGGGAGTGAAGACAACGATACTTGAAAAACAATAAAAAAACTAAAATAAAAAGGTATATTTTAAACAAAAGAGACTAATAAATATATAATGGTGGTTAGTTGATATGTGAAACAGAAAAACAAAAAGAAAATAATCTTGACTAATACGAATGCTATAATTGTCTTGAAACTGAAAAAATATGGGGAAATTGAGGATTTTGCAGTTGGCGATATTTTTAATAGACATTTTAATGTATACCACCTGTAAGATAATTCTTCGGTGCATTTACCTGTTCCCTTTCTCAGTCTTCTGAGTTAAAATTGTTAGTTCACCTTTGACTGACTAACCTCTTGCACACATTAAATACTGTTTATTTCTTGGAAAAAGCTAGAATTTTCTGTTATAAAAAAGGCATAATTAATGTTTTCTTTTTTATTTTTCAGAAGGCTTACACATGTGGATTGAACCCCAAAATTAGCTTTGTGGCCTGTTAATGAATTGAGCAATGAATAAGTACCAGACGGCAACTGTGTTCCAGAGCATTTGGGAACACGGGGTGGAATGAATAAAGGAAAAACCTGTGTGAGAGCACATCCGTACCACTGACTTTTTCACACATGCATACACAACAGCTGTAAGTAAACAAGTTATATAGTAATCAAATGGAATATATAAAACTCGAAGAAAAGGCAAAAGTACGTAGAAGAGTGGAAAAAGGAGTGCTTATCAGGCAGGGCGAACATCTGAACAAAACAATGAAGTGTGAGTAAGTATAAGGTGATCAAGGACAAATGAATTGATCAAACATATTTAAAATGAGAATTCATGTCACAACATACAGGAGCATGAGGTGTCATGCTAAATTCATTATAAAACATACATGACAGGTACAATTAATAAAC